TTTCTTCCAGTGACAAAATATTGCCAAAAAACTAATTGCATGGCAGTAGTAAAATCACTGTTTTTGAAGAACATTTTTGCGGCAAAAGCTCTATGCTCAACCAACTATTGTTGTATAATGACCAAAGGCTTTAAAAGCTATATGCATTTTGCTGTACCATTTACAAAGACGTAACATGGAGCCAAATTTAAATCATCTAATTGTTTCTGCCCAACCCTGAATAAAATAAACTTTCTCTCTATGATGCAGAATCCTTGTGCTATGGAAATAAATCACATAAATAGTATATAATAAATGATATGTTAAGTTAAAAATTTCAGATACCAATTAATGTAAGATGACAAAATTACAATTTATAAAATATAAAGCAGAAAATAAAATTAAAAACAGTAGCAACAGTAAAATAAATATTTTATCTAAACATACAGCTAGATAAAAATGATAATTAACAATACATGTAAATTAAAAGTAAATCCTCCAAAATATAACAAATTTAAATAATCTCATTATTGAAAATAATGAGTGCCTAGTTTTAATGCTTTCTTGTGAATTTTATGAGTAGTTAAATTGTACTTCTATTTAACAAACAGTATAAACAGAAAACATCACCTAGATATCAGAAATTTCATGATTTTCCATTCCTATATAAAACATTCCGATATGATTTGTTTTCATCATAAACTATATATTTACATTCAAAAACTAAAACTCCAAAAGCAATTTTCCTCGAGAAAAATACAAAAATGACTTGTGGTAATTATGAAGTGTTATTCCAATTAAATAAAGTTTTACTTTGCTCTCAAAATAAACATTCCTTTATGCTATGTTAACTGTTAACAAAATGAGAAACGTTCAAATCATTTATTAATATGATATAATTTCCTTATAAGTTTTGGATGATTAAATTAAGTGTTAATTTTCTTTTATAAAAGGTTTGATTGCACCTTGATATATCGGCTAGAAAACTGTTGTAGCACTGGTAGGCCAGAATACTAGTTTGATATTGCTGAGGCTATCAATGGGAAAATGAGTCTGCAATTACAATCAAAAGCAAAACTTTCTCTTTCACTCGCAGCTCTTGATTCCATAAGTTCTTGAAAAATAGATAATATCACCATTGAACGGAAAATTCACTAGGAATTGCTTGCTAGTTTTTAAACTCTCAGAATCCTTAAATTTTCTAATTATTCAAGTTTCTTCTCAAATAACCTTAAGATATTCATACATATAAACATGGCTACTCAATTTTTTTTGACATTGTACCAGTAATACACTTTTCATTTTTAACCCTTTTGCGGCGACTGTCACACATACACAGCAGCAAGAAACACATTCACTTCATGGGTGGCATGTTGGTGTGACAGTGTTTTCTCATTCACTCCTGGCCGCCACACATTTCTGCCAGTGTTCTGGAATACTTTAAAGCCCACTACATGGCATACTGTGTCCATTACTTATGAACTAAACATAGTTTTAGGATCCTGACCTTCAATTTGATAACATTCTGCATGACATTAGTGTCAGCTGTTGCGGGGGAGGAGCTGTAATGTAAATAAACAGAGCTTGGCTCTGTTTGCCACGTGATATAAATATTCACATTTCTGATATCCCTTTGAATCCTTTCTTATTCTTTTTTTGCTACTGTGTAGGGTCTTTTAGTTACTACTATGTGAGGTTCTATTATGCTTTGCATTGCTTTTATCGCCTATATTTCACATACTTCCCTTTTTATTTCAGAAAGACTTCCGTTTGTTATCGTGAGCAAGTATTATTTATCAGATGAAAGTTATACTCACATGGTAAATTAAATCAGCCAATTAGTTACATAAATGAGAGTGATGATTCATTTTCTGAAGAGTTACACAGTGATATTTTTAGTGATTCTCATATGGATATTTTGTCAGAGACTGAGCTTACTGGATGTCTACCTTCCAGTTCACACAAAAGATTATGTTACTTCTCCTTGTTAATAGTTTTTGTTATATTTTTTATTAATTAAAAAGTTTATTAATGTATTTTATCAATTAAAGCTTTGAAATAATTTGAATAGCGCTTCTGAAAATTATTTCTCAAGTTAAGAATTTTTTTATATATTTTCATGTAAAGTAAAGGAAAAAGATCATTAAATGCTAATTTTAATGTGTATGAAAGCTTAAGTAATAATCTACAATAGTACAAGAAATTATGAAGTTAGGACATTAACTTTTTTGGGTGATCTTTTTACTAAAGTTAGGCTTAGCATATGCAAAACCTCTATCCTATGGAAGCATTCCTTTCGACTTCCATCCATCCTGAGGGAATGTTTTAAACAAAGGCACCATCTCTAAAGGGTTAAATCTCTCTCATTTCATGGCTACAATTTATAACACAGACTCATCATCACTAAAGACAGCATCAAGTGAATAATCATCAAGTAGTGGTTACTCCAAACTCAGTCACTATCACAGCATTCTCAGGCCAGAAATTTAATTTCTCCACTGATATTTCCAATTTTGATGTTATGCCTTTTCTTCCATCTCTCTAACTATTCCTCTGAGTACACAAAATTTTGATTCTTGTCCAGAAAATTGGCTAGATGCTTAAATTTTGTCTTCAACACAAGTCCCTAAAAAGTTCCTAAATATCTCTAAAAAGCAAATAATTGAAGTAATGCTAGATCAAAATTTTTTTGACTAGATAATAAAAGTTCTTTTGCACTAGGATTGCTTATATTCAAAGGAGCCAAAATTTTATTCTTGTTTTCCAGTCAAAATGTTTGTTTATCTTCCAAAGAAAGTTTTATGCCTGACATTCTGAATATTCAAAATTGGAAGTGAACTGACAAAATAGGTACTGACTAGTGAACCTCCTTCAGAGAATTAATAAATACTACCAAAAGGCTATGTCTCTCATTTTCCTTCTATTTTCTTTAGCTGGTTTAATAGAAAATCTTAACTCCTCACTCAACTCTTGGAAATGACATTTACTCTTTTTTATTTGAATAAAAGCTTAAAATAGAACTTTGGTCCAACAAAATAGCCTCTTCTAAAAGAACCTCAAGAACCTACTTTTGTCTTTAATGCACTCAATGGGTACAGACCAAGTCTACAGAATTACTTCCAACACATTCTTTCAAGCTTTTACTAGAGCGTTTACTTTGAAATAAACTATAATTACATTTTTTTTTTTTTTTTTTTTTTTTTTTTAAATTCTACTTTTTTAGCAAAGTTTACTGTAACCAAGTTCATTCATTACATCTAGAGTTGACTAAATTTTCATTAATTTACTCGTAAATATTTGTTATTATTTCTTACATGTAAAGTATATTAGGTACACTGGATACTTTTATATTAAATTTCATACCACTTGCTCTTTTTTTTTTTTGGGGGGGGGCATGTTTCCTCTGTGCTAAGTATTATCAGTTTAGTTAGCTTCTTTCGTGGTGATTACTTTGTTTATAAACATTTGCTCACATAACCATGACTTGCATTCTTAATTTTATGCCTGCTGTTTAGTATTGCATATGATTCTTATTTTAATGCAATTTTTATTTTAGTTTTGTAAACTTTATTTAGTCACTTAAGAGACAACAAATATAACTATTTTTTATTACGTTCTGATTATCTGCATCACATTAAAAGTCGCACACTTTTTGTTGACTTTGAGAAGAAACATTTGTTTGGGTTCCTTTAAATATATTTTAATGATGCTTTCAGTACTAACTACCTGCACTTTTGAAAAATTCAGTTATATATATATATATATATTTTCCCAACAGAAGACATGCACACTTCTTGAAAACAATTACACCAATCAAAAGTCATGCTTCGGGTACATCCCATTTCTTTAGGAATTGCAATGACATATATTACTTTGTTCAAACAATAAAGTAAAATAGTTGTTGTAAATGAGATATGGTTATCTTAAACCAGTTTCCAACTTGTATTTTAAAACTTCGCTTGCAATTTTTCACACCATATTTTTATAAAATTCAATCATTTAAGAAATACAATTTCATAGAATGCAAACTTTTGCATTTCCTATTATTGAAAAAAAAACACTACATTTCTGAAGAAAGGTAACCCTTTCTTTTTCTGCAACCAGCAAACTCTATACTCCCATTATGATTCACTATGACAAAAACAAATGCAAAAAGAAACACTTATCAGTAAAAATGACGACTGAATTTTTCAAAAGTGCAGGTCCACATGTGTTACATTCACACCTGAGTTGTCATATAAATAGTTTTTTACTGACATCATGCACTGCACATAAATACTGGTGCATACTGCTTTGTTAATACTTTCTTGCATTTTTTCAGTGTAGGTGTAGGTACTCAAAAAGTACCGACATTTCTTTTCTTTTCTTTTCTTTTTTTTTTTTTTTTTTTTTTTTTTTTTTTGTGTGTGTGTGTGTGTGTGTTTATTTCATGTTTCCCCTTTCATAAAGAGGACTCCAGATATGAAACCAGCATAAATTGGAGGGGGAAAATTTTAAAAAGGGGAGATGTTTTGAATAATATTAGGAATAAAACAAAAAATCTGTGGAAGGTCAAGTACTCGGCCAAAGGCATGATAGTCAGTCCATTAGAATATTTTAACATACATTTTATAATTATTGGTAAAACTTAAACAATAAAAGTAAATTTTATAATAGAATTTATACTTTGGTGCATATAGTAACTAAATAGTTCAGACTCGTTAAACATATAAAAATTAAAATTAGAAAATATTCATCAATTTCATTTTCAGCGAATTATTTTTACAACATTTATTGACAAAATTTTAAAATTGGTATCATATAAAAATATTCTGGATGGGAATTTAAGCTGTCTGTGATATATTAAATAAAATATCAATTGATATATATGAACTTAATTGCAATTCCACTTAAGCTGACACATTTTAGTTCAATTCTGATAATTTTAACATTATTGAACTGCGAATAAATGCATGTTACAGTTGCAAACACTACCCCACCAGATTCCAGTCACAGATTTCAAGATTTTAATATCTACATACTCCTTCCTGGTTTCCTGACTTCTTTAAAAAGGGAACTTCTAACACGAATTAATTCTGTCCTAAAAACAGAATCCTGCATATAGTGGCTGATATCATTTGTGCAGTTTAGTCCTACAGATGTCATGTTTAATCCAACATCTTCATCACCCCAAGAGTCAATATGATTCACTACATTGCGTGAATTAACATGATTCATGACCTGCATGTCAGGGCCATTATTCCACATGAAAAGTCCATCTTCCAAAGGAGCTGAATTGAAGAGAAAAAGAAAAATTAAATGAATATGATATTAAAATAGAATGTTTGCTATACTGTACTGATGAAATGTTAAAAAAAGGGGGTTCCTCCCCCCCAAAAAAGAAAGTATTCTTAAAGGAATAATAAAAACCTTAAAAAATGCAACTGAGAAACTTACAAAGTGGCGGAGCATGTCTTTCTTTTTCTATAACATAAATATCTTCATCTGCATCATTAGGGGGGGTGATTGGTATGATATGCGATTCTGATGATATATGGTTTAAATTAGGGGATATTGGTGAAGGACTCTGGGGTCGCCAAACGGGAAAATCTTTAGGTAAAGGACCAGGTTTGCGTTTAGCTTTAGGAGATCCAATAGGTGAATCTAATAGCCTTTTTTGTCCTCGCATGGGAGAATTTCCTCCACCGCCACCAACAAGATCAATATCAGCTTCATCAACCATCATTCTCTAAAAAAAGGGGAAAAAATACAGATGTTCCTTACATAAACACATTGCTATTATGCTCACTAATTTATATTAAAAACTGCAATAACATAGTTTATCCACTGTTAAGAAGGATCAATTTATTTTTACTTTTCTTAGCAACACTAGAAAATTAATTCTATTGATGAAAAAAATCTGCACGATAACACAAATCAAACATTTAAAAATTAATGTGATAAAAGCCTACAAAAGTAGGGGGAAATAATTATAAATTCTCTAAATGGAAGTAAACTCGCTAATTTCACCAAAAAGGAAAGAAATGACAAAACTCTTACTTTGTCGATTTTAAAAGGATTACCAAACATATGCTGACGAACAGGAATGGATTCAATTTCTCGTAAAGGTGGGGTGAAACGCTTTAAATACTCTTGATAATTCCCCATTTGACCAACAGGAAGGCTATGCATTTGATCTACAGCAATTATATAAAAAAAGATAACAGGGTTATTTGAAACACAAATTAAAAAAAAAAAAAAAAACTGTAAACCATATTCTACACATTAATTCTTTAATACAGACTACACTTTAATTCTTTTAAAACGAAATCTTGTTTTGGAAACAATAATATTCAAAATAAAATTTATTTTATTTTTAAGCTATACAGACACATTCATACACATATTTACGCAGAATGAAGTGACAGTAGCACAAATCAAGTGCATTTTCATAAAAATGTGCCAAATAAATCACATCATTTATATCTTTCCAATTTACTAATGGTTTTTATAATAATGTACATCTTTTAAAATTTTCTTAGAACAAATAAATGAAAAGAAACAGTGCAGCATTAATGTGTATTGGTAGGCAGAAGTCTCACAAAAAGCTTTGACATACAATTGAACATAACAGCACTAAACCATAAATAAATCTATTTCCCTGTTTTGCCTTTAATTTTGTTATTATAAACTTTGGTTTAATTAGGTTAACTGGTTACAGGAAAGCACTCAAGGGCTATTGTTTTTTATGTATGTATTCACAGAAGAATTCTAAGAGTTATATTAAGCATGAGGAAAACACAAAAACATCACTGCCAGTGTTTAGGAGTCTTATTCACTTAGCCACTGGGGAGCAATGAACTTCGGTATAGCACACTTCTAAAAAGATATAAAATTTTATATACAATTAAGTTTAATAAAACAACTAAAAAATTTCATAAAAATAAACTAGGCAAATGACATAAAATTGTACTATACTGAAACAGGTGTAAACTCATTTATTTATTTATTTGAGTATTTCACAATTCTGAATATGTCTACCTTTGTTAATACAGCTGAGATTTGTGTGATAATATGTCTATGGTCAATATAATACAGCTATAGCATCAGTGATACAAGAGCAAGAATCCTGGTGATTTAGATGAAATGAAAGCAAAAACATAACCCACACAAGAACAAAATCCTGTGGTACTACATCTAGAGATTGTGACAGCTCAACACACCATCTCCTGGTCCTATGTGTTCAATCCACATGGCTGAGATACCCTCATAAATGTGGGGTCTCTACTTTTTATATTTTGAATGAGATACTCATGGAAATGGTTTCAGAAAACTTTCTCATTGAAAAGGAATTAGCATTAACCAGTTTTCTAATATATCCAGTAAATTCTAGCAGTAACATATCCATGACATTTTCAAATATGAACAAGCCAAGTATTAAACAGTTTACTTCTATTTCAGTAACTTAACATAATAGCTAACTCTATTTCAGTCATTTAAAATTTGAAATAGGTTATGAAGTTTGTTACGAATTTTTAAATGCTTTAAAGAAGTATAAATAACTCTGTATATAAATACAGCAGAGTAATTAAAAATGTCAAAATAAAAATTAAAAAAAAAAAAAAAAAAAAACACTATATCTGATGAAATAGGAATATCCTTCAATGAATATGTTAAATTCAGAAAAAAATTAAAAATTTGCCACTAGCCTCTAAAAAATATCTTAAAAATAAATACCTAGTCTTCAAAAAAGTATTGGTTTTAATATAATTATTAAACTTTACTGTACTGTCACAGAATTCTACATACATATGTGTATGTATACATAATGTGTTTATTGACAAGGTATTAAATACAAATATTTTGTTGTAACCTAACTTAAGATAAATCTTGCAAGATATGAAATACAAATATTTTGTTGCAACCTAACTTAAAATAATTATTGTACTAAGATATTCCGTTTGAGGGAGAATTTTTTTTCCTCTTTTCTTTTAAATATAGGGTATGGACTATAAAAATCCATGAAAATAAAGTGATCTAACCTTCATCTTGAAGTCGGGTATGGCTCAAAGAACACTGAAGGAAGTTTGATCTCATTCTGGCAAGCTGATCCAAAATGTTATTCCTAGGAATATCATATGCATTTCTATAGCTTTCATGCTTTATTTCTCTGTCTTTAACATATAAAACAAAAAGATTAAAATCATTTAGATCATTTTTCAGAGCTGTAAATCTGTCATTCATAACTAAGTGTGGCGTCAAATTCATTTCAGTGAGTTTAGTGGCTGAGCCAAATGGGCGCTGTGGCGCAGGATTGACGCGTATCCCGTCTGATATTGTCTTTTTTGTTCCAACGGTTGAGATAAGTTTTTCAAATTCAGTTTTAGCCTAAAAGAATAGATACGAAATGATTAAAAACAAATACAAAATGATGAGACTAACAATTAACTGAAATACATTATTCGATATATCAAAGTAATAGATGCATGTGAAATCCAAGCTAAGGGAAATTTTTTATTGGAATGGATAGACAAAACTATTCAGTTATTGCAAAATGATTGCTTCCAAAAATTTTTAAATGTACATACCTGATTTTTTAATCTTTTAAGATAATTTAGTACATTGTAACTTAAACAGTTCTCCATAGTGTCAGGTACAAGATTTGGAGCTCCCATTCTTTGCAAAGCTCGCTTAAGTGGCTGTAAAGTTAAAACATTTTATTTTATTGAAATCAATATAATTTTAATTAATAATTATATAGCATTTCAACAGCAAATTTATCAGTATTTTTTTTTAATTTTGAATTTTAAGAAATTTTACAGGAGAACTAAGCTTTTTATTGAAAAGTTTAATTATCTACTTCAAACTTTTCTACCTTCATATAAACATATCAATACTTTTACTCCAATAATAATAATAATAATAATAATAAAACATTGAAACAGGAATGAGTGAAAGTCAATACACCACATATACTGATATAGTATTAAAAAATAGATAAAATGCTCAAAATTTTTAAAAATTAAATAATTGGATTATGATGTTTAACAAATCATTTATGAATTCTACTGATAAGCTACATAATAAAAACATTATTACTTGTTTAAAATGTTTGCTGTAAAATTAACATAAATTTCACAAGCCTTTTTGTGTTGCTTTGAATACAGCATTATTAAAAATTAAGAAACCAGTTAGGATGTCTGAAAACAAACATTACTGTAAGATACTGCATCATATTGAAATAAAAAAAAAAAAAAGGCTTATTTTAAACAATTTTTACAAATTTAATCAATAAAAAAGATGTTTAAATTCAAAATGGCAATTTATCTGTTGCAAAGTGAAAATAAAAAAATTTCCTCTTAGAATTCTTCTTAAATCTAGAAACTCCAAATCCCAAACCCTTGCATACAAAGTAGGAGTATGTTTCAGGAATATTAATCAATCTTTTACATGTCAATGTTTCCAAATGGGAACATAAAATTTAAAATTCAATTAAAAATTAAATTTTATTTAAATTTCTTTGAACAATTACTATTTATAATCAAGGGCATGCTTGACTTTTGGCATGAACCAGAAATGAATTTTAAGGTGTATAGAAATTCATAAAAAACAGCCTTTCTAGTACTTTTGACACTGCATAAGTTAAAATTTACCCCAAAATAAGAAAATAAACCAGAATTAAAAAATTTAATTTTTTATATTCTGTATAGTTGTTGTTTTAATGAAAAAAAATTAGTTATAAAAATTCTGATAAAAATGTGCTTGATATAAAGAAGCAAATTTGCATGATCCTGAATGACAGCATTAGTGTCTTTCACAATTTGCTGATATTGCAAAAAAATGACATTTAAAACTTTTGATGCCACTAAATGTGAAGCAGTACAACATGTAAAAGTGTCTCTTTTTTGTTTAGTCTTCCTTGCATCTCCATCCTTTACAGGGATCAGTTTGGCAGATTTCATGAAAAACTCAGCACTGTTGAGTCAAGGATGCCTTATTGTGATCATCATTCAACTAAAATGTTCATCAAAGGTAAACCAATACGTTTTGGATACAAAATGTGGATGCTCTGTATGGCAATTGGATATCTATATGCAATGAACATATAGAGTGGCAAACATTCTGGAAACGCACATACACCTCTGGGATAAGAGCTGTACAGAAACTTTTATCTCATATTAGAAACTCCAAAAAAGATTCTTTTTTTTAAACATCACAAAACTGATTAGTGATTTATCCTATAAAGGTTTTAAAGCAACTCTAACAATCTGAGAGAGTCAAACAGGAAGATACCCTCTGGAATCTTCTATAATTTCAAACTGACAAAGAGGAAAGTTTGGATTTTTGAACCAATGCTCAAGTATAAATATGATGCTGGAAAGACAGTGCTGTAGCAACTACATAGAATCCAATTATTCATCCCATCCCCTAAGTAAAGCAGAATGCTTTTGCCAAGTACAAAAGAAAAGAACCAACATCTCTCAGTCATGCCTTATATAGATTTATAATGAAAGAATGGGAGAAGTAGATTTATTAGATTGACTTAGGAGTTATTGGACTTAATTTAGCAGTAAAAAATGCTAATGGAATTTAATCATCAGTGTTTTGATTATTGTAGTTGCTACTGGATGGATTCCGCACACACATGTGTATGAAAACATAGCTCAAATATTATCGTATCTCAACTCTCAAAGAGAAGTAATTTAAAATTTACTTCTAATGAAACCGAAAAGTCATAGCAATTCTAAACCTTGTGAACATCAGTCACAACCTTTAAGAAAATCTTATGTACATTATCTTGCCTTTTCAGGGATGTAACGAGAATATACACAAGAAATCTGAGTGCGAAAAAGATTGCACAAAAAATGTTTTCCTCAGGACAATGCAAATTTCTCAGGACCAATAGGCAAAATTACAATTTAAATGTTTAATTTTTTTTTTTAAAGTCGGCAAAACATTTGGTTAGGTTATTTTTTGTTTTCTTATATATTAGTCTTTTTACACAAGTGTGAATTATTTTTTGCAGTTTTATACTTCTACTTTTCTATCTGCTTTCATATTTTTCTAGACCTAATTTCTTTCACTGATAAAGGATTGTAGACTGACTAAAGTTTAACCTATGTCATTTTATAATAAACTTTAAAATTTTAATCAGAACTGAAGAAAGTTTGTATGTAAAAACCATCTCTTTTCATTAAAAAAAAATGACTCTTATAGCACATGGCACAATAAATGAATATCTACATACTGCTTGATTATGTTTGAACAAAAAGTAATAACAAACCAAAAATATATACATATGTATTTCTATACACAAGAAAAATGAAATTAATCTCAATTATCTAACAAAGCAACTCACCGCTGCATAATATAATGGCATGTTTTTTAGGTAATTATCAAACTGTTGTTTCCATTCTCTTGTAGGTTTACATCGATGAATCTTGAATAAATCATCTAAATAGAATTAAATTTTTTGTATTTCAGCAAATTTATATTCAATATTCCAAAACATATTCTAGTCAGTTTTCTGTAATCTTATTAACATTGCCGACATCTATGTAGTAGAATAGTAAGTAGCTTAAAAAAATTACTATAAGTTGATTATGACAGCACTGAAAGAAACATAACTTTATGAAATTTCAAAAAGAGCACAATGCAGATTGTCAAAGTATACACTTAAAATTTTAAAAACAGTATTTCCATATTTCAAGGTATAAATTGAGTTAAATATAATAAAGGATATTATCATATTACTGTTCTTGTTTCATCTCTAATTGGAAATGATACTTAATAATAATTACAAGATACTTTTACAAATTTTAATTTTTCAACTGAAAATAGCAGCTGAAATGGTACATTAAAAATCATGATTAATAAGTACTTTTAGGATGAAGTATATAAACCACATCAAATAAATTTTTTAAAAAATCCATGCTTTCAGTTCTATGAAAATAATCTGAATGCATAGTGCTTTACGATTTTTTCTTCCATAATATAAATAAAATCCAGTTCCCAAAAAAGCATTCTCTACAAAGACATAAATTTTTACACTAGATTTCTGTCATATGTTTTGCTACAATAATGCTGACAAATGTTGAATAACTTTTCTTTTTTTAAATTTTAGAAAAGAATTTTCTGCCCTTAAATAATATTTCTTAACTGTTTCTAGTAGGTTTATTAGAAATAATCACAATTATGCTAAAAGTTTCTCTAACATACAAGTGGGATTATTTACAATACCTGATTTACAAATTCTAAATAGTTCTGATTACTTGCTTAGTTCTCGCTTCACTATTTTTATCTCATTTTTGGTAATGCTCAGTGAAATATATAAATATTAGAGATCATAGCTCTAAAAAACATACAGCATATTGACAGAAAATATCAGGAAAACTCTCATTTTTAAGTCCCTTATATCACATGTATATTAGAATGAATAAACTGCAACAGTTATTAAAGGCATAAAATGAATTTAGAACACATTAAAAAGCGAGGACCTAAATCAATCAAAATGAGAAGTAATTGTAGAAAAAGAGGAAATTTTTAATATTGTGGTTTGAGATATAACAAAGTGCTAAATCCTCTAAAATCTATTAAAAATAAAGGTAGTTCTTTGAACTTTCAAAGCATGTCATGGCTGTTCTTATTGATTTAAGGTTTGTGCAAATCTACATAGCATTAAGATTACTGATGTAATGACAGAAATGAATTTATTGCTAATGAAAAATTTCTAGCATAAACAAAAAGGACTACCATGGAAGAATTTAGATACAAAAGAAATGCTTTCAACAAACCATACAATCTTATTATTCGATATTTAAACTGGCCCTCTTATTTTAGCTTCAGGTGACATATTTCCAATCTATAAACTGGCTGTCAATGTCATTAGAGTCTCCCAGTATCTAGAGATTCATAATTTATGAATAATATTACCTAAAATACTTTAGTTGAAAAGAAAATAATTGCCAATGAAAAGATACCTTAAGAACCCTTAGAGAAATCACATCATGTTTCCTCTTTATGCTGATCTAGTCCCAACAGTCTCAAACTGACAGCCCCCAAAGAAATTTTATGTAGCCCGCCAAAATATTTCAATTCCGTACTTGTTTTTATACAATGCTTATAGATTTTGATACAGAATAAATTCAATAGGCAGTGAATTGCAATATAATGTTTATTAAGAAAACAGAAAAGCACTACCAAACATTTTAGCAGTCATTACATTACAGCTGAGTTTGAAGCTAGCGCTGGAACACAGCTAAAAGCAGATATATACCTATACAACAATGCTCTGATAGACTTGCAAAAGCTAAGGGGGGGGGAAAGGACATTAATTGTAGCACCTCAGGAAATAATTTAAAATAATAAGAAAAATTTGAAAGCTTCCAGATTTTACATTACACCCAAAGGAGAGTTTTTTTTTTTTTTTTTTAAGAGATTTGTGTGTTACCTTTATTTATTAAATACTAGGTTCTTCGCACTTAAAACATAAAACTCAGTTCAACAGCAACGTCGCAAAATAATTTTAAGATGAGCATATCTTTAGAATTTCTGATATACAGTCTCACGTGCTGGAGATAAAAATGTCCCCTCCCGTACAGTGTTGCCACTGCTCGTTTTGAAATCGTCGAGTTTGTTAAACAAAAATTCGCTAAAGTTTTACAAAATACAAAACAAATAATAAAACAAATTCCAAATTTGGGCTTCCAGCCGCCCATATTTGGGTGGAAACGCACATTAATCAAAACTTGATGGCTCTAGGTACCGTTGTTTTATCACAATGCAAGAAACATACATACATTTATGCAGATTCTTCATTATTTAATTTCTTTAAAATATAATACAGGGCTCTAATATTTGGAGGCCACAATTTGAAAAGTAGAACAACATTTAAAGTTTTCAACACAAAATTCCAAAACGAAATTAATAAAAATAAGAAAAAAAGGCCAGAAGCTTTTAGCCAGAACGGTCTAAAAAATTCTTATTTTTAGCCCCTTCTGGCTAAAAATAAGGAAACTTAGAAACGTATGGATTGTGTTTATATGCTTGATTGCTAATGAATGAAAATGGAACAGAATGGATAGATTTACGATGTAAGTTAAATGAAAAAAGTACAGACTTTGTATGCTTGCATGCTGGGCCGCATGACTAGACTATGGTAGGGTGTTAGTACAATCAATAAATTTATTCCCCAGGCTTGTTGGTAAAACTTTTATATTCTGGTATGCCACTCTCCCTTTTCCCCTAATGAATTGATACTTTCACTTTCCTTGAATAAGTCACTAATTCATTGAAAATTAACAAGTCAGACAAAAGGGTCTGACTGACTAATTGACATCTTGTAATTCAGGATGAAGATACTTTTCTTTTTCTCCAAGGCTACAGACATTACCAAACTCAAAACACCAAGAGATATCAAGCGGTAGTAAAAACTGAGAAATGTATAATTATTTACAAGCAATAATATGTATTTTTTTTCCTAGTGTTGATAAAAAATTTAATACATAAAGGAAAAGAATAGGTTGTTGGTATTTATTCTCAAGTTTTGTTCCACAGGGGGAAGTCTCCAAAAATTTGGTAAGTTTTCACAACTTGTTTACTTTAAGTTTAGGTTAAATATAAGTTATTTAATAGTTAATTCAACACATTAGAATTATTTGAAATAAATGTCAATCCCCAAAATTTAATATTTATCTGCTAGAACATCTGAATTAAATATAACCCAAAAAATTGTTACAGATAAAATAAAAAGCCAGATAAATTTGAATTTCCCCCCTTTGTGTTATTATTATTTATTAATATATATTTTCATAAATATTTAGTAAGTAAAATTTGAAATTAAAATTAAAATTTAGTTTGTGTTAAAAAAATCTGGCCTGCCAGCTGCTTCAGATAATGCATGTGGCCGCATGCAAATTGAGTTTGAGACCATTGATCTAGTCTTTCACTACACAATAGAAAAACATTTTTTAAAATGTATTTTTTACATAATACTTCTTTATTTCCAATAAAAATTATAACTGCTTTTAGTACTTCTTTACTTACTTAAAAGTAGTATATTTAACACTGGTTTATGCTAATAGAGCTGTTATAAACATACAACTGCAGAGAAACACAAAGGATGGGAATATAACAGATTTCCAGTTAATCTAGCAAAAATAATTACTAAAAATGAAATTAATTAAAATGTCAAAAATACATACCTAGCAGAGGCAATAATACTGGATAATTATACGGCATCACAAACAAATTAACACATGTAAGGCTAGTACTGGCTTTTAAGTATCCAAACGGATGATCAACTTCACTATTCTTGTAACTATTACTAACAAAAACCTGTTGAAACATCAATATATTAAATGCTTTGTAAATAGAAATTTAAAATATTACATGCACAACACATACAAAAAGAAATTAATTAAAAAAAGTACTTCAAAGTCCAAGTTTATTTGACATTTTGAAAATTATAAACAACAACACTAGGGTAAAACTCTAGTTAGTCAAATAAAAAGTCAATATGAGATTAAAAGAGAGATACCTCAGTACAATTAAACATATTTCTGATAATAACAAATAATTTTGGATTTAAAATATGCATCACAAATATCACACATAAAAAAAATATCCTTTTTAAACATAGAAAAAGATTTTTTTAAAGAATTTGATGCAGAATTAATGAATAAAAGTATAAAAAAAGGACTTTAAAATAAAACATTTGATTTTTATTCAATGACGTTCAGTTTTTTGACCGATTATAGAATAAATGAAGATCTTTTACTAATTGACATAATTTTGCATTAATTTAACATATACTAAATTATGAATTAAAATTAACTATCCTTTTTTTAAAAACTGATTCTCAAATTTAGGAAAGAAAGGTCTTTTATTTCCATTGAAAGAAAAATTTCATGCATAAGTATTGTTAGAACTTTGTCTATATGTTAATTTTAGCTAACTGCTATATGCTAATTTTAGCAAAAGTACACATAAACCTGCAGTATCTCTTATATGAAACAACATGAAATGGCTCAAGAGATGAAGCTGTGCTGAAAAAATAAGATTACAGATGCAGGTCTATTTAACATTGAGGTAAATGGCTATCTCACAAAATCTGCAAAATGCTGGCAATGGTTTTGGAGAAGAATTCCCCCCCCCCAAATTTCACAAGAAATCCCCAGTGCCAAACCTGACAATTACTTGGCCTCATTTTGATCTGGTCCATGTATAACTGTAATTGAATAACTATAATTGATCCCAAAATGTAACTACAACCGTAAATACCTTCAAATAATTTTGAAAAATGGATGGTACTGGAAATTTCTCAGCATCTGGGAGAAAATTATATAATAGAGAGAACATCAGTTCTTAATTCAGAGTTGACTATTGTATTGAGAGTATTGAGACTATTATTATTAATTTTTTAAGAGGGTGAAGAGGTTGTTTTATATCCAGTCTAAAAACTTAAAAACTTTATACAGTCAAAAGTCGTTAATCCGGACTCGTCGGGACTTCGGCGATTCCGGATTATTGATTTTTCCGGATTATAGATCATCAGTTTAAATCTGGTAAAATGGCATGAAGAAATTATAAAATTAAAAATATGAAACCGTAATTTACGAAATAAAGAACAATTATGATCTAAAGTGTATCAAAATTTACAAAAAAAAGCTTAATATTTATTTGTTTACTTTATTAAACATTTCTTTCAATGTAAGTTGTATTTAAGTTGCTTCGTTTTTTATGTGATAATACATTGTCTTTAATTCTATAAATATACATAATTTCTTGTTCAGTTACAAAGTTCCACTGTTCAAGTCCTATAATTGCTGTGTCGAGAATACCGACTAATTTGTCAATCGAAATTTTTTCGTTTTCAATAACCTCTGTTACTTTCTTCGCTATCAGAAGCGAATTATAATGACGAGGCATTTGATTTAAATCATATCAAAGACGAAGTATATCGAAATGAAATACTACATTTAGTAAGCAATTATAAGCCAAATAAAATAAAAACATCTGCCCTGAAGATAAGGATAGTGCTGACAGATCAACTTCCAATTCATTGTGCGCCCCCAGCAGCGTTAAAGATAAACAAAGTTTAGATAAACAAACGTTAAAGTTTAGATAAACAAAGGATATGCCTTTATCCATTTTTTACAGCAATTCCACTTTTTGTTTAATGGACTCCAAAACATACTTTCGCTTTGTAGATCCGTTGCATATTAGTAAGTATAAATCGGAAATTCTATTTGACATACTCGAAAGTTCAAGCTTACTTTTATGAAATTGCTCTAACAGTCTGCAAAAAATAATAAGCTGGATCCAATTCTAAGATTAAGGAACAACGCAATCTGCAACATTAACTGAAATAGATAATTAGAGCTTAGCTTATACCGTCCGTTATACATTAAACGCGCATTCGTAAACGTATTTTGCGCACGCGTACACACAAATTCGCAGCCGTAAAAGTCTAGTCAACGCAACGCATGCGCAGAAAGTTTGTACTTTTGAGGTCCGGATTATAGATCATTCCGGATTATGGGTGTCCGAATTAACGACTTTTGACTGTACTGGTTTTTAAGTCTTTAGACTAGATACATTTTTGGATGTTAGAATTTTAAAAATCTCATAAAGGCATATGCTCATGCACCCCGGAGCCCACGGTCAAGAAAGCAGATATAGGGGCACTGCAGGCCTTGGCCCATTAGGGCTGTTACTCCACTGAGTTTATTAGTTTACTATCTATATATTTTAACATCTCCTTACAGAACAAATATCTTTATAACTGAACAATAAGCATCTCAAAAAATGATCTTGTTACAGATAAATTAGCTGGACATTGAATAATTCACAATTTTGCTAATTAAAAAACATAGTTTTTGTGCATTTCTGTGTATGCTAGCAAAACAGGTATATGACATGTCACATTTTCTCCATATAAGTTGCTTGAAAAATAATTCCCCAAGGTATAAAATACACATCTACATCTCTTCTCGGGGACTTTACGAAACATTATAGCTCTGCACTGACCCAAATGAGATAGCATGTAAAGAATTATAAAAACAAGCTGATTCAAACCATATAGTGAAGAAACATTAAAACAAGACTAAATTACCTTAAATACATGTTTTTCAAATAATATTCAAGACTTTATTTTTAATATTACATATTGCAGCTACATGTTTATAGACTAAAACCGGTATTTCTAAAGAAAAATAAAAGTTTAAATTCAGTTTTACCCTATTGCATCATTTATATATGTGGTGGATAATCCCCATTATTACATTACTGAAACTTCTTTCTCATTTACAAAAAGATGAAGAATATTTTCTTATTTGGTTACCAGTAAATTAAATATGTGATATTAAAAACAATTAATATTTCAAATCATTTGATAAATTGAAAAAAGTAAACTTTTTTTTTTTAACTTTCTGACATTAAACTATTTAAAAATAGCTGAAATTAACATGTAACAAACAACTCAAAATATATACAAACCTGCCAAGCCACTGTTGGCTGCTTTCGAGAAAGAATGTATTGGGTTAGAGGACTAGGTTCAAGTTCATATTTGTCAAATGGAAGATTATCAATAACCATAGGTTCACTGTTTGCACAGCTAAATTTCACTATAGGATGTGCTGATCTTGGTGGCTGCAACACAGAAAGAAAAACAAATTAGAATAATCTTACAAATTATTTTCTATCTTGAGAGCACCAAATTTTGGAAAGACAGGGGAAAATAACACACAAGTAACTGGTCATAAAATTTCAAACATTTTGAAATTTAATTAAAGTGAAAATTTAATCTTTGACTGTTGTTAATTATAGAAAAACCTTATGCATTTCAAGAAAACTGCAAAATAAATTTTCTTCTTAAGGAAAAAAATATTATTAAATAATAGCAATTTAAGCTGAATTTTGTCTACCTTTAAAATTCCAGTTGATGAGCTTCCCATGCACCTGATCTTAATTAACATGTAAAAATCTACTGCTTAATTTTAATAAAGATTTAAAATGATTTTAATCTAAGGTATTTGTCAGCTTTACAAAAGCAATGGTCATGAAAATATTGCAAAGTTTAAAAAATGCAATGGATTTTAGATTTTAGATATTTGCATCCTAAAATAGAAATATCCATTTACCCTCCCTCAATAAAAATTAAGAACATCCCATGCTACAGTAAGACAAAAGCTTCACTTTACATTCCAATTTCAAATAAGTTTTCATGTTTCAGAATACTTCAAACAATGATGAGTACTTCCTTATTACTACAACCCCTGTTTTTAAAATGTTAAGTTGACCTCAGGATTATTGACAAGTTTACACTTAATTCTCACACAAAAGGTTATGCTTCCGTGATTACTTTTAAAATGGCAGTACAAGCATTTTCTCATCTCAAGGGATGTCATCAGATGAACACCATAAATTAAGGCTCATGATGCCTGTGAACCGTACCTTGCAAATTTTTATTCCTTTACTAAATAAGAATGCCAAAGTTTTTCAAAACTTTGTGCGCAAGCAGCTATTGTTGGATTAAAGAAATGAAATTTATGGTTCATGTTAAACATATCTCTAATCAATCTTTTCCAGTTCCTCCATTTTATATGTTCATCAACAGTATGAATCCTTCTTCGCTATCAGCAGTTCTTGTACATAGTCGATGATTTTTGCCATCAGTGCAGTTGCCTCTCTATTCAGAACATCAAGAAGAAAAAATTCACCAGTTTCTCAGCACAATTTGCCATACTGTGGAAGAACCCCACTAGCTCAGGGTTCGTACACATTTCCTTACATGAAAATTAAGGACTTTTAAGGACCATCAAAGAAAAAATTAAGGACCTATCAGCAAACAAAAAAACGAATAGAATAAAGCTATTATCCATACAACCGACTTCATGCTTGTAATTTCACTTTAAGAAACTAACAGAAGTGTGTATTATGCACTATTATTAAATTCAATTTAATACTTAACATAAAACAATTTGAAAATTAAACTAACTCCCTACAAGTTATGAAGTAGATAACATTAAATTAGGAACATAATTTCTTGAAAAACATGTATAAGTGTATTTCACACTAATAACAGTCGCAGATATTTTAGAGATTTACATGATTGTTATTTAACTTATTTGATAGTTATTTAAACACAGTCAACTACTATTATAATCACAATGTAAGAATATTTTGAAGATTAAAATAACAGATTTGTAAACATACAATTTATTTCCTTGGTTTTTTGAAAGATACTAGAATAATAAACTATACAATAAAAGATACAAAACATTTATACTTTTTTTAAATCTGAAATTTTTTCAGATATTTTAACATCTAATTTATTTATGTCTATTTCCTTTTCTTTAACTATTCTTCTAAGTTCATTTGCTTTGATAAACAAATCAATGTTCCTGCTGGTCTCGGCTTCATCTGCTAATACATCTACTTCTTCATTAATATCTTTAATGTCCCTTTGAAGAAATTTTTTCTTCTGCTTCATATAATCAATTTCTTCCTCAATAATATTTCTTTTCCTCTTTGAATTTTCAGATTTAGTTCAAGGTTTTTGTTGTTCTAAATACTGCATATATTTAGACCTTGCAGAAGCTGCTGCTGATCTCATTTCTTTATTAATTTGGATATTAAGAATACCTTCAGAAAATTTTATGTAATCAAATACTGTGTGTTGGAAAATGTATGATGAGTCACTTAAATTTTCAATTTCAATTGCTTTATTTACAGAGAAGCCCCTTTCCACAGAGGTCTGTCCATGTGACAAGATAAGAATCATTTTCACTATTTTCCATACTTTTGAATAGTGAAAATCATGAAAATAAGAAATGAGAAATGTGTCAAGAGAAAGATTTTGAGGATCAAAAGTAGAAAACTCATGTAAATTTGTCTTAACTACTTTGTCTAGAAACTCTCCAAACTGCAGCAGAATTTCATCACAATCATCTTGTAAAACATGTTTATTCCACATTAATATCGTTAGAACTATTTTTATTTTGTTCTGGGATTTTTCTGGACTTTTAGCCATCAATCGTAGGTCTATACAAGATGCATTTCGAATAAGAGAATAATTTATTGGACATTTAGACATTAAGTGTTGTACCATTGTTAAGACACATTGTTGACCTTCTTGTTTCAATGCAAAACATTCAGCTTGTGAAATGCATTTAACAACTACAACAAAATAGAAGTTGCTAATATCTACCCTACATGCTTAAAACTAAATAATACAAATACAGTGCAACATAATGTAGTCTACCTTGATTTACATATTATAGATTACAATTTTATTGAAAATTATGACAAATGAAGAGAATTTAATTTTTCAACACTAAAATTAACCAACTGGAATTCAAATATTTCCAAAAGAGTCATCCTTAACCAAAAGTCCATCCTTAATCCAAAAGATCATCCAAATTTACACAATTTATTCACAGCTACTCAGAATAAAAAGAATCTGCAATGCAACAAAACACCTTCAAGAAGAAATACTATACTTCGAAGCTATTTTGAAAAATAATTCCTCAAAAAATAATTAAAAATAGCTGGCATTAGCCTTACCAATTTTTAGATAATTTGTTGAGTTAGGATAATGGTAATTTTATACTTTAAAGACCAATGGGACGGTAAAAAGTGGATGGCTGATTCAGTATAAAGTGGATGGCTGATTGATGAGAATCTAATGTAAAAATTGTAAAAATGTACTGATAATTCTCGTCACTACATTTTCTTTCCTCCAAAATTTTGGCACAATACTTTTTATACTATTGTTTAAATAGTTTTAAATTACTTTGATGGCCAATTTTACTACTTTTATTAACAAATCGGGCCTTTTCGTTTTTCATTGTAGATTGATCACCCTCTAGCTTGAAGAATTACGACTTTTATTAACAAATGACTGTTTTTTTTTCATTTTACTCTTACTTTTGCGGCCATGTTAAGTAATTTTAGCTGAATTAGGCATTTTCACTTTTAGAAAAAGTTTTATTCTTCAAACAACTTGACTGACGCCATTTTGAAATCTTTCCACGTCTTCCACCCCCACCCCTTTGCTAGGGACAAGTTTCCGCCAACGTACAGTCTAATCACATTGGCTGTTGCCCAGTACATTGTTCCCCCTACTTACGTCACATGATGAGTGGGAGAGCGTTGAAGGACACAGAGGGGAATTACAACCCCTTTTCAGCTTTGTTTCATGATGGAGAAGACTGCATAGCCACAGGTCTGATTTTTATGTTTCTTTACAAAAAATTTTTACTTGGTCTTAGCAAGACCCACTGTGTTTGTTTTCATTTAAATTTAATTTTAGATTTCTGAAATTTATAAAGGTTTTACTCTTTAAGCTAGCAAGTCCAGCCCGTAAGTTATTGTATATTTTGACTAATAGCAGACCGCTATTTATTTTTATCTTAGTTATTGCTGTACATAGTAATTGCATTTACATCTTTTAACACCTTAATATGTCATTTTGTGCGGAAGCGTCGGGAAATTGGAACAGAGAATTGAGACTAAGAAAATTTTTTAAGACAATTTATCTAATTAAATAAAAAATTTTGTAATGCAAACGTTTCAATTGTCTGTTTCGGCGAAACACGTAATGGAGTTAGCTTGGTTCGACGTAACTAGAAATTTCCCTTGAAAAGCCAGGTTGGACTTCGAATTCAGCTAATTTACCATTTTCCGCTTTATATTTTTATATATTTTTGTTTGTTTTATTTGTTTTAACTTGTTCCATCGATTGGTTTTTTTTTATATGCTTTTACTTTTCACTTATCACATCAATAGGTATTTTACTGTATTTTTTGCCATTACTAGTTTCCAACGATTAGTATTTTACTGTGTTTAATATACAGTCAAAAGTCCTTAATCCGGACTCGTCGGGACTTTGGTGATTCCAGATTATAGATCATCAGTTTAAATCTCGTAAGATGGCATGCAGAAATTCTAAAATTAAAACTATGAAACCGTAATTTATGAAATAAAGAACAATTATGATCTAAAGGGTATCAAAATTTACAAAAAAAAAAAAGCTTAATATTTATTTGTTTACTTTATTAAACATTTCTTTCAATGTAAGTTGTTTAAGTTGCTTCATTTTATGTGATAATACTTTCTCTTTAATTCTATAAACAGATATAATTTCTTGTTCAGTAACAAAGTTCCGCTGTTCACGTCCCGTTAATTGCTGTGCCAAGAATACCAACTTGTCAATCGAAATTTTTTCGTTTTCACTAACCTTTCTGTCACATTCTTCATGTCTTTATCCATTTTTTGCAGCAATTCCACTTTTTATTTGTTGGACATCGAAACATACTTTCGTTTTGTAGATCCTTTGGAAGTTCCAGCACCGGAAATTCTATTTGACATAATTGAAAGTTCAAGTTTACTTTTATAAAATTGCTCTTACAGTCTGCAAAAAATAATAAGCGGGATCCAATTCGAAGATTAAGGAACAACGCAATCATTAACATTAACTGAAATAGATAATAGATAATTTTAGCTTACACCTTCCGTTATACATTAAACGCGCAGGCGAAAACGTATTCTGCACTTGCGCAGTAGTCAAGGTCTTACGCGCACGCATAAAACGCCTGTGTGCATGTGCCATCGCGGCGCATGCGCAGAAAGTTTTTAGCTTTTAGGTC